GCAGGGAGCCCGATGGAAGGCTCGATCCCAGGACCCTGAAATCATGACCTGAGCCGAAGGCAGACGCTTCACCAACTGAGCCACCCAGGCACTCCTACAGTATTCTTAATATAAAGCAAGCTAGTGAAAAGAAAATGTTACTGAAGTCATAAGGAAGAGAAGATACGTTTACAGTACTGTACTGTGTTTGTTGAAAAAAGTCTGTAAGTGGACCCCTGTTGTTCAAGGGTCAGCTCTAGTTCTTTTTGGCTTTAGCATCCCAAAGTTTGTTGTGTAGTGTTCCAAAGTTGTTTAGTTTTTTTATTCTTTACTTCTTTGTTATAGTTATTTTATTCATTTGTAATGCAGTTAGTTTTATTTGTTTTATTGTTTGTATTCTATTTTGGTTCTTCTCACATCCAGTTTGATTTAATTCAATTATTTTTTGAGTAAGTGAAACATTAATTACCAAGATTGCAAAGATCAGAGCTGTACTCAGTGTCATTTCTTCCTCTTCCCTACTACCCCATTCCTGTCTAGGAGCGGTATGGTTGGATCCTATGGTAGGTGTGTATTTAACCTTTTAAAAATCTGCCAGAAATGGTCCTCCAAACTGGTTGTGTCATTTTGCATTCCCATCAGCAATTCAAATTCAGAAATGCAAAGGAATGAGCATTCAAGACGTATAAAGACGTGGAGGGGCCTTAATGCACCTGGCTGAGTTGGAAGGGGCCAGTGTGACAGGCTGTACTCCGTGTGATTCTCTCTGCAGAGCACTCTGGCGAAGGTAAAGCTGCGGAGGTGGTAAACAGAGGAGCAGTTGGGGGGAGAGCTGGATCAGTGAAGCAGAGATCTTCTAGGGAAACTATGCTGTGTGATTGTGTAATTTTTAAAACCTCATATTGAAATATGTTTGTATGCAAATTGAAGGAACCATTTAGGAGATTGAGGGACCGCAGGATGGAGTGCAGACTGTGACAGAAAGCCACACCAGGATGACCGGTGTTCAAAACAGCCTCACTTCAGGGGGTGAGGGAAAGGTGCCGACCTGAGTCTCTTCGGGAGTGAGTGGAGTTTGGAGGACTGAAGGCATAAGGAGCCGTGCATAAGCAGTGGCTCTGGTTGGTAAAGTTGTTTCCCAGGAGAATAAGGGTGAAGGGTTCTGGTACTGTGTACCTGTATGCTGGAATTGGGCAGCCAAGAAAGGACGGCTGGGGCAGGAGCGAGGTGTCCCGTTGTCTCCTGACAAGCTCACGTAGCTCTGCTGCAGTTGACCTTTGGGTTGAAATGAAGTGAGGGCCCTTGGGGTCTGGGCTGTATGCGGAAGGCAGTGGAGAGGTCAACTGGAAGAAAAGGGTGGGGAGATTGGAAGGCTGTGTGTGAGTCACTTGAGCTGTCAGAGCACCGCAGATGTTGATTCTCCGTTCTAGAGGCTGGATGTCCAAGATCAAGTGTTGTCAGGGTTGGGTTCTGGTGAGGCTGCTCAGTGTGTCCTCACATGGTCTCTCCTCTGTGTGGGGGACAATAGTCCTATTGGATTAGAGTCCCATCCTTTTATCTCCTTAAAAGCCG